TGAATTTTAGTTTTTTTCTAAAAGAAGAATATAAAAAGCAGGGGGGAGGGATCGCTCAGTGGTTTGAGCATTGGCCTGCTAAACCCAGGGTTGTGAGTTCAATCCTTGAGGGGGCCATTAGGGATCTGGGGCAAAAATCTGTCTGGGGATTGGTCCTGCTTTGAGCAGGGGGTTGGACTAGATGACCTCCTGAGGTCCCTTCCAACCCTGATATTCTATGATTTTGATCAGGACTAGGCTGAAATCTTGCCACATACTGCTGGGGTCAAGGGCTGGAATTGCCTGTGAAATCTGACTTCCTAAATCGATGCAAGTGGCATCTCTGATGGCAAAGTCGAATAGGACTTAAGGATGAAACCAATAGCAGTCTATAGCAGTTGCTCTAAAAACCTATGGAGCTGAATGGAAAATGAGATTCTTTCTGAAAGTTTTCTGAGCCTTCTTATAGAATTTTATAGCGGGGATATAACTTAATAGAGAATTCTATCCGATGACTCAATAAACTTAGAGAAAGGATCTGGTTCTCTGTTAAATTCTATCAGACTTTTCCATAAGGGGGAACTTTCTTCTTCTTGTTAATATCACACACAATTCTTCTTCTGAGCAGAACTCTGGGCTGGCTTTTCGCTTGGCAGAACCCAGCACCTCGCAACAAATAATACATGTTCAGTGAGAAACAGGTGATGGAAAATTACTCCCAAGGAAGCAGCAATGGGGCTAAGTTCCTGAACATGGCTGTAGCATTCAAGAGTGCTTTGTACTGAGGGGACATTAACCTAACTTCCACTGTTGCCAGGCAACACGGAGTTTGATGGAGGGAGCCGTTTTAACAGCTGCCCTTTTACGCAGACAAGTGGTCAATTCAGAAGCTCGGTTTTCGTGTGGAGGGGGAAGAAAGAAGCAGGAAGAAAAGCTGCATTATTTGACTAAAAGATCATGGTTTATCATTCTCTGTATCCCACCCTCCTGAGTGAAAAAAATAAATAAACCTCTTAGATTAGTCTTAAAACCTATTTATATGCTGTTAGCGCAACCTCAAGCCTTTCTTTGCAAGCTGATTTCCTGCTGCTACTTCAGTAAAGAAATGCACACGCTGCAGGTACACTGGCTGTCAGTCACAGGTTTGGGAAAGGTGCATACCCAGTTTCATAAGTGACAACTGTCTCACCGTGGGAACATCTGACAGATTCATTATAACCAGGAGATTAATACAAAGGATAAATAAAGCCCGAATTGTATTTATTCCCTACATCAGAAAAATAATGGTTTGGTTTAACAAGATTTTAATAATTAAGGCTGGGATTTTAAAAGGCATCTATGGGAATTAATCATCCAAATCCCATTGAAATCATGCACCTTTGAAAGCCCCAAGTCTGCATGCTCAGTAAATAAATAAATAAAACATTACATTGCTGTAAAAATGACTCGTTATAAAACAGCCGCCTTTGTGCATCACCAGAACATAGCAGAAATGCTCCTCCAACAACTAGTGTGATGCCGTTGATTCAGCTTGAAGGCTCTCTCAAGTTGCTTCGTACGGATTTATGAAGCAAGATAAACTAGAAAATGCACATTCCCTTTCCAAACAATTTAAATCAACAGCGTTCTATTAAAATCGAACACACAAAACCAAGCTGGACCACGTTAAAAATTCACAAATTGATCGATGAGTGACGAGAGAAAGATCTGCCAAGTCCACTGCTTTCCCCAGTAGTACTCTCCTTATCAGGGTATTGGGGTTTTTTTCCCTGAAGCTGGGCTCAGTGCAGGGAGATTTCACTCTGAATCAAAGAGCAACGGATGGCTTTCAAGAAACAGCCCTGGTACTAAAATGGGCCTGTCTACATTTATGATACTGGCACTGGAGTAGCTACACTGCTGCAGTCACTCCGTTGCAAACCCTAATCTAGACCTACTGCACTGATGAAAAGCAGGATGTACACCACTGTGGCCATTTACTGGAGTTGGCTGTACTAATCCAGAAGGGTCTAAATCACACTTCTCTTTCCCTGATGTGTCTGATCACTTAGGTTACCCAATTCCAGATCCCCCAGGCTCCACACATCCCATAAACACGGGCAATCATTTCCACACGCTAATGACTGGTTATACCATAACTTCACGATGGACAGGCAGGTGGCTTTGGATGGATTGTGCCAGTAAAGAGATGCAATTCTGGCCCGCTCCTTTGGTTGCTGCACTATGAGCAATTTATTATTGAACAGTGAGATTGGAGAGGAAGCTCCCCTTCTTGCTCCATCACCACCTCTCCTTGGCTCCTTTTACCTGCCTTCTACCCTTTCCCCCAGCTCCTCCCTCCACCCTGGGGCAGACTGCAGGCCTGTTGGTTGAGGTGAGCCTGAAAACGTGCCAGCAGAGACGTGCAGAGACGCCAGGCTGCACAAGCTGGATAAATGTGAGGCAGCACTGGCTAGTGCCTAGAGAAGAAACTCCAAGTCAGCCGTTCCCAAGTTCCAGTCCCAGCTCTGCCTAACTCGCCCTGGGTTGACCCCAGGCCAAAACACTGGACTGCCTCACTTTCCCCACTGGTAATTCTCACCTCCCAGCTGAGGCGCTGCGGGGATGGATTAGCTACTGCGGCAAAGCCCTCCTTCAAGGCTAAGCATTCCTAGCTACTCAGAGCTGTGGGGTTTTTTTAAGGAAGAGAGCTCCGGTATCATCAGGAGGACATGCCTTTAATGGGAAGATGACCTGACTTTTCACAGCGCCAACAGCTCTGCCAATGTCACCTCCTTGCCACTTCCCCCTCGGCAGAACGCAGCAGGGTAGGGGACACAGGTTTGGGGGGGATTGGGAGGGGGCCCCCAGATGCAAAGGGGTGTTTTAACTTCAGCTCCATCCAGCCCTGATGGAGGAAGGCTCTTTGTCTCCAGCCACAGCAGCCAATGAGTGACACAAGGAGGCTGCCGTGCACAAGAGGCCAGCTATCTCAGCAGGCTTCCCTCTTGCCATCAATCTCCAGGAACTACCTGGAAAGGCAGCTTATTCAGCTGCCCGGTGGAGCGTGGTGGCCAAGGGTAAGATCAGGTAGGTGCAGATTTACTACCAAGATCCTGCCTAGCTCGGCTAACGTACGTGTGTATTCTCCCCCCAGTGGCTCAGCTCTATAAACACTGATTTCTTGGGGGAGCAGGGGTGTCTTTCCATCATGACCTACCACTTCTCTTCACTTAAAGGGCCATCACGATGTCCGCTTTGTTCTGGACACACACATGCCAGAACAATTGATTTTTCACTTATCCTAACAAGCCAGGCGATGCCTACCAATGACCTGCTGTTCAGATCAGTGTGTGTTTAAAAAAAAACCAACCACCACCTCTTGCACTTCTCTGGCATATTAACTCCCGATGAATCCAGTACCCCTTTGCAAATTGAATAGAGGGGAATCCCTTCTTCCTCACGATGAAATGCAGCTGCCTCTAGAGTGGAACGCATTAGCTAACAGTGCATCACAGTCTTGGAGAGGACAGGAGGCACGCTTTACCTGACTGAGCCGTTCCCAGAGCTGGGGGTTGATGGAGGTAGAATGTAAAGGTTTAAACTGGAACAGATCAGGACAACAAGGGCTAGAATTCCTACTTTGGGGAAAACATGCCAGGGAATGTTTAACGAACACAAATGGTCACGGCCTCGGTCTTACACTCAACCCAAGAGTCTGGCAGTTCAGTGCCATGGTAGCAAGAGAGAGTGCCACCCTCTGAGACGCCAACACCAACCCAGAAAATACCCTATTTCTCCTCCCTGGGTCTCTCCTGTATGGATCACATCCAACTCCACCTCGCTTAGAGTGTCTGACCCAGGTGGGACAGCTACAGTCATTGCTCTATTACTAGCCTATGAACATGGGTGCAAACAAATCTCCTTTTTCTTCTCTTTTCAAGGCAGTTTAAGGCGTTTATTTTTTAAAACGTGGTTTATGGAACAAACACCAGATATCTAGGCACTCTACAGCTTGGATCTCAGCACCTGGCTGACCCTGCCCAGTGGCCTAAAACAGATCACCCTGCCAGTGAGCCTGCTATACTCAAAGTGCCACCATGCCTACAAGGGTCACCACAAAGCTATGAAATGGCACGGGCCTCCCCCTTTAACTACCTCGCTTGCAAGCTGCAAGGCTGGACAGCTGGCAATGGAGGAGGGCGTGCACGCTGCAGCAATGTCTGCAGCTTACACCACACACGATCAGTCCCTTTTTTTGCTCCACAGAACCTTGGCCAAAGTCGGAGATGATGAAATCTGCATGTAACACTTGGAAAATCTCAGACAGGTTTGTCTCAAGTGCCCCACTCTAAACCTACGCGTGAGATGGAGTTGGCTGGGGGAGGTGTGGGGAGACACGCAATATGGCTAATTCACTAAATACTTAATGCAAGCAAGACTCATGCAGAAGTAATAACAATCCAGCACAGCTTTACGGAGACCACAAGGAATGGGCAGAGTGCTCCAGTTTCAATTCTTGACCTTAATGAGTGGTACATCACTGACCAGAAAGGAGAGGTTTTTAAGATGGCTTTGAGCCTTAAAAACTGAAGCCAATCCCCTGTAACCCAGGGGTTCTCCACCTTCTCAGCTGTATGGCAAGGAGAAGTTAGGGAAACGCTCCACCCGGTGAGAACAACGCATGTCCTTCCACTAGCAGAGCAGAGGATGCAAAGAGCCAGAGTCACGTTAAGTTTGATGGCTCCCGCCAATGGGGCATTCGATATTGACCAGGAGGGCAGGAATGACAACATGCCACTGCATCTGCCTGATCCACACTCCATGGTGGGACAGGCAGCCAGTGGGTCTATTCGGCTCGCTCAGCCGTGGGCTGCTGCTTTCAGTCCCCTTCGTTTCCAGTCTTAGGCTGCTGGCAAGGGGAGAGAACAGTGGGCTATTGGCAAGCTGCAGTTGGTGGTCAGCTCAGCAGAAGCAGTGGCCAGTCAAGGTGTATGATCAATGAAGTGCCTGACAGGGCTGAGGGCTATGTGGGTTCTTACCTGTATTCATAGTGATGCGACATGAAGCCAGAAGAGGGTCGGATGTCTACTTGGGCCAGGGTTTTAATGGGAGATTTGAAAGGTTTTTCAGAGCTGACTGAGCGGAAGGTGCTGAAGTCATGGGTCCCTAGGAGGGAACCTGCTGCTTCCTGCATGGCAGGCACGTTCAAATGGCTGGAACAAAATGGAGAGAGATGCATCAGCGCAAGAAGGAAGGTCATAGGGTGAGTCTGGAAGCACGGGAAGGTTCTGCACACCAATGTCTTTGCGGGGGTTAAAGATAATAAATTTCCAAGAAGGGTCCATGTCCAAGCCCCAGATTCAGACACTCTAGAAAAAAGCTGGGAGGGGCGAGTAAAGGCTGGGGAACTCCCATATTGCAAATGGCCCCTTATAATGGCCCAAACCAAAAAACATGGTGCCAAACACCCCTGAAGTTTGGGGGTGTTCCTAACCCAGATGTGAATTCTGTTCCCCTCTAAGGGCCTATTATTGCAAAGGTTTACGCAAGGCAGTAGCTAGCAAAGAACTTCTAGATCTCTCATGACTGCAGGATCTGAGCACCTCCATTAAAGTTACGGCCCTGAAAAAAACAAACCAAAAATTCTCTCTGGAGGATGAGGTTCTTATACATTAAAATGGTAATTGCAGAAAAATTCACAACACAAGGACAATTCCCTAAACCACGCCTTTGGAATAGCCTGCTACAACCAAGCCAAGCAGAAGGGGCAACTGACTAGAGATGGAAGAGGAACTGACAGGTAACAGCACAAGCTTAAGGCACTGCAAACTCTCAATGAACGAACAATGTAAAGGGCAAAAAGTAAAGCTAAGATTTCTAACTGCCATTCCGATTTAATAATCCAAAACGTTTAAAGAGGGTAGCTATTTTTTTAAGGGTTTTTTGTGGCAAAAAATGGTGGGTTTGTTTTTGAGAGTCTGGACATGGAAATCACCAAAGGAAATATCCATTTTTGCTTAATTTTTTTTGGGGGGGGGGGGGGGGAAGGGGTTGTCAGAAAACCACAAAAATGGTGTGGTTTTTGGCTGAACATTTTCAGGTTTTCAACAAAAGCCCCAAAACTTTTGAAGAAAAACTTCAAAACTTTTTTCCATTTTTGTGGAAATTTTTCACAGGAAAAAAAAAAAAAAAAAAAAGGTATTTCCCAACTAGCTCTAAAGGTGATACTTGGGAATACAGAAAGGAATCTGGTTAGGGAATTTTAAACTGACAGTGTCCCTTTAAAATATATTTATGTATTTAGGGCTCATGCTGCTTTCCGCTGAAATCAGTGGGAATTTTCTCTCTGGATTTTGTTAGAGTAAGGATCAATCCAATTAGTAAATTGCCTCCCACTCAGAGTTTGTTACAGTCTGTCTTTACCCATTGTGTGGTATTGTCCTTTGAGAAAATTAACTGCAACATCTGGGCTACATTAAATGTCATTTCACAAAGCTTGAGATTAGGGTTTATTGTGTGTGCAACATATAATTTTGCAGTTTTAAGCTGATTTTTCCCCTCCCCAGCCCACAAAAAAGAATCCACATATTTAACATTAGGACAATATAATTTTGATTTCTCTGCTGGGACCATCTGGGATTGTTATGCTGGTTTTATAAGAATACATGTAATGAAAAATGTCAAGTTATTCCATGAGTGGTGATAAAACTATTGTAACTGACTTTGAAGTTATAAAACTGTTTTTAATGTGATTGAAAAAACTCCAAAAAAACCAATATTCTTGAATGTATATTTATTATAGCATATGCTGGTAAAAAAGAATGAGGATAGCTTGACATTGTTTTATTCTTTAACTCACAATTTATAATATCTTAAAGCTTGAAACCAACATCTTGTTTCTTTACTAAAATGTTTGTATCCTCCATTGCAGGTATGCTGCTATATTACTAAACGGTTGTTTCATAGGTACCAATCTGCAATAACTGGTTTGCTATTCCAAGATTGTTTATGAGCACTGGGTTACGCAGACTGGTTTGTTTTTGTAGGGTTGCACGTGAATGATTGGCACCTGCGTTCATTCATTGTTTGAATACACAGTATTGTAGAATGTGATCGGGGAGAAGAATTATATGGATTTGCAAACAGGGGCAAGAAAAAAATCTTGAGCTGTCGATCTTGATGGGACTGTAAAGAGCAGACTATCCATAACTTTAAAATCTGCAAGGTAATGGGTTTCTGCACATTTGTTTCTTGTTGGATAATTGCACCCTAGACTGTCAGAATTAACTTGCTGTACAGAAAAAAGTATCCATTTTAAATGCTTCTCACTCTCTACAGAGGATGCAAAAAGTTTGCTCCATTGCGAGTTTCTGGCTTGGCAGCACAGAGAACGTCAATCACAGATGCAGTCCTTTGTGACTCAGTCACTGCAGATATGCTATTAGCTGTAAGCAAGAGAAGCCACTGCAGTTACCCCAGATCTCACTGAGGAAAGAATTGACAGCCAGATTCACAGCGGCGGTAAGTCAGTGTGGTTCCAGTGACTTCATTCGACAAAACTGACTTACACCGGCTGGGGATCTGGTCTCACACCTGGAAATTAAGGGCTTGTCTACACAGGAACACTCAGGAAAGTGAATCCGAATTAACTAAAGGTGTGAATTTAAAGTGTATTAGTTAAACCACATTAAACTCATTACCATATTAAATTATTCAGAATTAAAGTGGACTTAATTCCACTTAGTTTAACTCACTTTGAAACTTAAAAAACAAAAACAAACAAACAGAAAAACATCTGCATAATCCAATAAGGGGGATTTTCCTGAAGAGTTCTGTTAATTAAATAAACTTACTCTCCCTTGGGAGCCCAGCACAGATCCCTTTCAAACACCGGTATTTGGGAATGGTGAGAGCAGCCTGTCACCAGCCGATAAACATAGGTTCTTGACAATGCGGAGAAGCGTGCGTGGAAGTTATCAGACACCTGATAGGCACTCAGAATGCTGTCAGGAAAGAAGAGTTGAGATCCTCGTTAATCCACTGGTTTAAGCCTGGTCACCACCTGGATTGGAGACCTCCAGAATTAAACACACAACAGACTTCTCTAGGAAGCTCCTCTGATGATTCCCTAGTTACCACCCATCCCTTTGAGCTGATAAACCAATTCTTTAGCATGGAGCTTGGAGTCACTGTAGATTTGTGTTGACTAGGATAGAAAGGGAGACCATATGCTTCAACTCAACCGGCTGGCTCTTGGTAAAGTCTACACACCCTGACTACCCACCCTAGAGTTTTAGACTGTGTTAGCTATCACTTCTAGCATACCTTTAAATCCCAGACCAGGGTAAGCCTGGGTCACTGTAGGTGGTATCTTTAGAATGAGACACAAAACTGAGGTTCTGACCCCTTGCAGTTATTAACAACCCCAGAGCTCTTTTTGCAAGAATAGGGAGGTAACCTTGGTGTCCTGACCTAGGTTCCAACCTGAATAATTAACTCCTGCCACCCTTAATTCCCTTTCCATTTCAATTTCAACTGAAGGTTGTATCTTAAACTAATGTGTTTCTGAGCACTGCTAAACAGCTGCTCCATTCTGCCTAAGCAGTAGATGTGGAATGCACGTTTGTGTACATCTAAATATGCATATAGATAAGTACTCACTCACTCACTCAGTCTCTCTCTCTCTCACTCACACACACACACACACACACACACACACACACACATCACTTAAGGGGAAAGTTTTGCATGAGTAAGACAAGCAGGAGTTTGCTCACGGTTTGCAGAAATGCTGTGGGATAAAATGTACTACACAAATACAAGGTATTATATTACACTACATTATGGCCAGCATCAACCACAACGGGGCCACTACCTCTTCAGTGGCTGGTGCAAATGTCAAGGGAAGCATAGTGGTGTTTTTGGGGGGGGGGGGGTGGTTTGCAAGAAGTCACTATATACTTACCAGTTTCTTTGGTATCCCTAGCATGTTACACAAACATAGAACATCATGATTAACTCTGTTGCTACTGATGTGGATTTAAAAATTAAATCTTTCTGCACCTTCGCGCCCTGCAACTCCCACCATCATGGCTAGATCACATGAATGATGGCAAGAGAGCCATGCTCTCCCCCACCAGGTCCCTTCACAGCAGAGCTCTGCAACGAATGAATAAATCTTAGAGTCGATGGATTTCACCCCAGATTGATCACATCAGCACTAACTTTCATGCAAAGATTATAGCCACGAGGTGAATCCTAAGTAACGATCGCTGTGTGGAAGCTGGCCACACTGCTACCAATCAGTCGGGAATCAGTTTGGAATCGGGAAATCCACCGTGGGGGTGGCTGTGATGCAAGTGTGCAGGGCCATTAATCGCCTCCTGCTATGAAGGATTGTGACTGGGCAATGTGCAGGACATAATAGATAGTTTTGCAGCAATGGGGTTCCCTAACTGCAGTGGGGCGATAGATGGCACACATATCCCTATTTTGGCCCCAGAACACCTGGAGACGGAGTACACCAACAGAAAGAGCTACTTATGGTATTGCAAGCACTGGGGGGATCACTGGGATCATTTCACCGACATCAACACGGGCTGGTCAAGGAAGGTGCATGATGCATGCATCTTTAGGAATACTGTACAGAAAGCTGCAAGCAAGGACGTTCTTTCCAGACCAGAGGATTACCATTGGGGATGTGGAAATGCCAATAGTGATCCTGGGAGACCCAGCCTACCCCTTGTTCCCATGGCTCATGAAGCCGTACACCGGCCACCTCGACAGCAGCAAGGAGCGCTTCAACAAGAGGCTCAGCAGGTGCAGAATGACTGTTGAATGTGCTTTTGGCCGTTTGAAGGGTCGCTGGCGCTGTCTCCTCAGAAGGTTAGTCCTCGGTGAGGACAATATGTCCATGGTCATAGCTGCCTGCTGTGCGCTTCATACTATCTGTGTAGCAAAGGGGGAGAAATTCCCCCAGGAGTGGAGCGTGGAGGTGGATCGGCTGTCTGCTAATTTTGAGCAGCCAGATACCAGGGCTACCAGAGGGGCTCAGTGGGGAGCTATTCAGCTGAGGGAGGCTTTGAAGGAGCATTTAAACAATGAGCCACCGTAATGTGTGTTGCTGTAATGTGTTGAGCCTGGCACTGTTTTTCTGCACCTTGGTATGAACTTTGTAAGGATTACTGTGTGCGCCTTATTATGACAATGCAAATGCATCTATTGCTGTCGTTTGCGAATGTTAGCAGCAGCCACCATATGCTGGAGAATAATAAAAGTAAATTCAGTTTCCATAATAGATTTTTATTCTACACCCATGCAAACATACCTATGTAATGCTGAGTTAAGCTTCACACATACAGGGAAAAGTATCTTTAACGGGGAAGGAACAGGGAATTCACAAACACATACGCCAACGAGCTCTCACTGCTGGGTTTATGAGTGGCTGCCATTGTGCACACTCTCCTGCAGGGTGGCGTGCCTGGGGTGCTGCTGCAGCCCTGGAAGATACATGGAATGTGGGGGCGGGGGCAAGTGTGGGGAGCTCCTGGAATGCAGATCTCTATGGGCTGGAGCGGCGTTGAGCACAGATGTGCTCAGCCTGACGTTCAATCAGAGACTGCAGCATGTCTGTCTGCCCCTTCAGCACCGCTATCGTCTCCTGCTGCCTGTTTTCCCTGTACACCCGATCCCTCTGCATTTTGTCATTGATTTCCACCCTGCAAGGCCTGCTCGCAATCCGAAGCACCAGAGGCTTGCAGGACCTCCTGGAACATGCCTTCCTTATTCCTCTTCTTTCTCCTCCTCATCTTGCCGAGCCGCTCCACCAGGATGCTTGAAGAGACCCTCAAGGCCACATCTGCAGTTGCTAAAGAAACAATGGACAGAGGTCCTATTTTCAGTGCACTTACACCCCTTGATCCAAACCAGTTACAATCACAACTTTCTCACTTTCCCTTCTGAGTCAGAGAGCAGGATGGCAGCCCCGGGAGGGGTGGTGGTCGGGTGGCACTGGGGTATCAGTACAAGCGCATAGGGCTGTTGTTCTGAATACTGGTACTGTTTTCCAAAGGCAGTGGTGATTGTAGCTGATCTCACTCCTGAGGGTAACTGAGGCTGCAAGAGAGCAGCTCCTGCACGCATCTGGCTGCAGACTGGGTCTACATGTTGCTAGCCTGAATGCTGCAATGGTGCCTGCTGAAGTAATTGCTGAGTGCCGTGGTAAAGTGTCCTACCAGGGGAAAGAAACAAGGCAGCCCTCCCAAGAAACCTTGGGCAGAGGATTGCAGATTTACCTCCAGGAAAATTTGCTAACGATCTCTATGGAGGATTCACGTGACATCCCAGTGTGCATAAACCAACTGTTCCACAGGGCCCCCTCTGCCTAGCTGTATAGGGGAATGAGAAGCAGATAGCAACTGGCCCTGTGTTGGTTATTTCACGACCTCCTCTAGCCTGATTAAAAAAGCAGTACATGAGCAGATGTGTCCCTGTGATATTGAAGCAAATGGAGTACTTACCAGAGCTTCCCTTCCCTGCATCAGGCTCACCAGAGCTAGACTGCTCCGGAGTCAAAAAGAGATCCTGGCTCCTCACGCCACCGGAACTCCCGGTCACCTGTCCCCCATCCACCTCCGCCTCCACTTCTTCATCCAGCAAGTCGTCCTTAGAGTTCATTCCGGTGGGCCAGTGACTCTAGGCCCCCTCCCACCCACCCCCAAGAGTATCCACGGGGCTCTGGACTGTGCAGGTGGGGTTGCTGCCGAGGATGGCGTGCAGCTCCTTGTAGAAGTGGCACGTCTGCGACTCCGCACCAGAGCAACTATTCGCCTCCCTGGCCATCTGGTACGCCTGCCTCAGCTCCTTGATTTTTACGCAGCACAGCTGTGCGTCCCTGGTGTAGCCCTCCTCCTCCTCGCCCCGAGCGATCTGGCTGTAGATGTCGAACTTCCTACAACTAGAGCAGAGTTGTGACTGCACAGCTTCCCCTCCACACAGACCCAGGAGATCCACCTCCTCTGGTGTACTCCAGGCAGGAGCGCGCTTGAGCCGGCATGGTCAGCTGGGCAGGTGTTATGTTAGCTCTCCAAACCGAGCAAACGGGAAGAGCCATTTCAAAAGTTCCCAGGGCGTTAAACGGGGAGGGGCATACACCTGCGTACCTGGCTGCAGGGCAGCGGAGTTCAAAACGGTTACCAGAGCAGTCACAATGGGACACCTCCTGGAGGCCACTTAGGGCGACGTGAGCAACGCAGTGTCTACACCGACACTGTCACCTTAACTACGTCGCCCTAAGCGCTACGCCTCTCACTGAGGTGATTTTGTTAGGTCAGCGTAGCGAGCGAGTTAAAGCGCCGGGAGGAGTATTGTAGCATAGACACCTCCACAGTTAGGTCAACGTAAGCTGCCTTACATCAACCTAACTCTGTAGTGTAGACTGGGGCTCAAAGGTTTAGGGAGACCCAGAGCATGAGGTTGCATCCCTGACCATCTTGGCTAATAGTCATTGATGGACCTATGCTCCATGAACTTATCTAGTTCTTTTATGAGTCCAGTTTTACTTTTGGCCTTCACAGTATCCCCTGGCAAGGAGTTCCACAGGTTGACCGCACTGTGAGGAAGAAATACTTCCTTTTGTTTTAAACCTGCTGCCTACTAATTTCATTGGGTGACCCCGGTTCGTGTGTTATGTGAAGGGGTAAACAGCATTTCCCTGGGGGCTGTAACGAGTTCACTCCCATGCTTACAGTCAGGCCTGAGCTCGAGCGCCTTCCTGAATCGGGGCCCTGAGGAGGAAGGTCCTTCCAGTCATGGCCCACCTGGATACCCAAGGAGCACACTCCTCACTAGCTCTTTCCAAAGGCTGTTACTCAGCTCATTGCAGCAGATGGAGACAGCAGGAAACTAGGTCACTCCCCCGCCCCCCCAAAGACAGACACGACTTTGCCGCAGTCGGGTGGAAATGCAGAGAGCACGTTGCTGCCTCTTCGACTGATTCTGCAGC